AAATCGGTGTTTGTATGTGCCAAGATGGGGATCTGTTGGCGGTGCTAAGAGTGTCATCTTGACAAGGTATTCGTAGTATGAATCATGCCCGCCATCCCAGTGCCTCTGGCGGCCCACTGGCTCTCCTGTCATGATGTCGACAGGCGCGTCAACCATGCCTGACCACGGTGTCTTCCACTTCGACCATACAAGTGGCGCCCACGCGTTCGTCGAGTTCTGCGTGTATGTCAAGTTGCCAGTCAGTCTGGTCAAGACGCGGTTCTCGAGGATCGAGGAGCCAGTTCGCGCAGGGCCTATAGCGGGGTGTTGGTCGTAGCCGTGTTTGGTCGGGTCGTCGCTGAAGACGAAGGAAGGATCTGGCTCGCCCTGCTCTGTTTCAAAGTCGACACGAGGCCATGGCATGCCTGTGGGGGTGTCGTATGCTGGAGCAAGCTTCCCCGCTAGGGTGACAGCATGCTCGAGTACAAGATCGCGTGCCTCTTCGCTGAGTACGTCTTCTGGAATAAGCCCGGTGTCGTACATATCCACAATAGACAAAAGCCCGCCCAGGTATCGTATGGTGGTCTCGAAAGGGTCGACGAGGTCCTTCGCTTCGTTGAAGTCGATCGCGAGTATGTGCTCGAGAGAATGCGCCAGCTCGTCCCATAGCCCCATAAGTGCCAACGTGCTGGCGGAGTCCACGATGAAAGCTCCCCACCCATTTCTGGATGACGAATTGCCTCCTGACACAGGTAGGATGTCATCGTAGCCCCAGGCGTTCTCCCTGTACTTCCAAAAGGTATATTTCATGGCATCCCGCACGCTCTTCGCCCGTGCCTCGTCCGCCTTGCCCGTTCCATTCCAATCCGCATGTTGTATTTGTGCGCCGAACTTCGGTATGTCCCTCTCTCGAACCGTCGGGTTCTGGAACTCTTTGATGAGGAGGTACAGGGTGATGACGATGATGGCCGCGAGGAGCTTGAACGACGACTCGGGATTCCGCTCGAATTTGGACTTGCCCCAGCGGCGGAAGCCGGGCATAGTTAAAAAGTGGTGGAGGCCTTATGGTGCTGGCGGAGGCGCTCAAGAGGCGGGTGGTAATAGCGCGCACATCTGCCCAGGTGGTCTCAGGGTGCGGAGTGGGTGCGAAGGTGCGGCGATCGATGTTCAAGGTTCCAAGCTATGAGACCATGCTTGGCTCGAACGGGATGACTATTGCGTGGTGAATGAAAGAACGGTATTCAACGCTAATGAGTGAATGTACGCGACGAGTTTACACATGTGAGCGCTGACGTCGTGTCATGCTCGAGTCTGAGAGCTGCTCAGGCTTGGCGCTGAGCCCTCAGCGTCGTCATCGCGAACTTTGCGACACCAACGCGTGTGCACATCCTCAACCTCGACATGGCTGTCTGGCAGTACGTGCGCACCCTGAATACGTATGTTCCTACCACTAACATTGAGATAGATGGTTCAAGAACATACCGCCCAAGACGCGCATGATCATTGGGGTGGGCGTCATGGCGTACGCGGGCGCTGGTCTCTACATATCCGACAAGGCTGAGGAGAAATTCGGTCTCACCCCAACCGACCAAGATAGAGAGCAACTGCGAGATGTGATACCCAAGGTTTCAACTATTGAGAAGCGAACGCCATGATTCATCAAATCCTGCCCTCCACAAGATCTATTGATTCCCAGGAGGACACTGCAGACATGGTGAGTATAAAGCAAGAAGCCCTTGAATGCGAGGAACCAGCGAGACGTGGTTTTGATAATTCCTAGGGATATCCACAGCCTCATTCCCATCATGTCGCTTCGGTGTGTCACTCGGATAGAGAGGCTAAGACGAGCAGTCGGCGGCAACGGAACTTGTCACTCATGTAGTCGTCGCTTCCTGACTACTCATACTACGATCGCTTTTTGCGAGGCAGTGCTAAGAGAGAATGAATTCGCCTATCCGAACCCAACTAGGCGTCATCAGTTCGCCCTCCAATGCTTAACGACCACACTTTGTCACTAAACATTTCCACAGCAGCCACCGAGGCTATGTGTGGCTGCCGCGAGTTCCAACACGGTATAGCGTCAGGCAACAGGGTCCATCGCTATACCACATCTGCCTGCATACATGGCGCAGTACATGAATACGACACAACCTTGACGCTTACCTAATGACGATCATTTACCCGACGGTGCAAACCTGAATCTGTTTGTTGCATTATCCATGGCGTTGCATTCGTCGACGTTGATATACAACACCAACCACAGCTGAACCAATGGATCCTGCATCGTCGCCTGCGCACCACACGAGAGGGAGAAAACGCCACCGCGCCGATTCGCCGTGTGACTACTGCGGACTAGTATCGGTACCATGTGTTCCAGCCCTAAATGACGCTGAAGCTCGATGTAGCAATTGCATCCTTTTGGGAAGAGAGTGCGACCGGGATGGCACTTGGAAGAAGGTAGCCAAGACCAGAAAGCAAACCTCAAAGATTTGTAGCGGGTGCCGCGAGAGGGGGCGGACATGTGCCTTCGTGGGAACGTCAACGTCCTGTATCGCTTGTACAGTATCTCAACAAGGTTGCTATATTCCAAGCAATCCCACTAATGCTGCGTATGCCCGGTCTATGGAGGAAGCTCACCAGACAACCCAGAAAGCATTGGAAAGACAAATGATGCGAGGTCTTTACATGTCATCAAGTGATGATTCAGACGAGGAAGAGGAAATGGAAATACGAGCGATGCGAGGCCGTTCCACATCACCAAACCATTATTCAGATAACAAGAGAACACGATCACAGTCGCCAGGGGACAATTTCTACCATAGCGGCTCACCGGTTCGTACTGGCTCACCTATTCGAGCAGGATCACCCGCTATTCACGGTACACCAACACCGACCTTCGTGGAGTTGGCCTTGAAACCTGTTCATGAACAGGTTTACGGCTTCACATACTTCAACACATTAGCACAATATCGATATACTCCTCTGCTGGATAACGAGATCCGGCTTCTTCGTATCTCACCTGGATCTTCGGAGAGTAGGCTGTTATGCTCTCTAAAGGTTTTCTCACTGGACAAGCTCGTGACTAAGCTCCACGAATTCCAAGCCCTCTCGTATGCGTGGGGTGACGACACTCCTACGCACGAGGTCTTCTTGAATGATCTTCCCAGATCAGGCAATGCCGATTCGTCTGATACCGCGCGGATGCACTACGGGAAATACCTCATCCGCGAAAATCTTAATCAAGCACTCCGACGCATCCGTCTTACGAATGACTATATATGGCTTTGGGTTGATTGTCTGTGTATCGAACAAGGAAACGAGGAAGAGAAAAGTCGGCAGATTCCAAAAATGCCTTCAATTTACTCAAGCGCCTGGAATGTTATTGCCTGGCTTGGAGACGACTATCGTGGCGCCAACATCGGGGACGCTGTCCGTCTGGTACCGGATGTACTTGACCTCAATAATCTTGACTGCCACGTCCAAGGGGGATTGATGTTTAGGGATAAGTTCTTCGCGCGCTGGGTAGCTTTCGGTCGCATTCTGCGGCGCCCTTGGTTCAGGCGTCGGTGGGTGATTCAGGAAGTTGCCTGTGCAAGAAGACTATCGGTGCGCATTGCGGATAAAATTCTGAGCTGGTTAGACTTTGCAGATGCCGTAGACCTATTCTCGGACCATTTGGATCAGATGCGGATACGCTTTCGCCATTCGGAATACTACGAAAAAGTAATGACCATCTACGGGAATACTGATAGTTCAGCGGCAGTGGCGCTTATGAGATTCTCGCGCAACGTATTTCAGAAGTCTCCAGATTCATCAATTGCTTCGAGACTAATGAGCCTAGAGTCTCTGGTGCTGACAGCTTCGCCTTTCGCAGTGTCGAATGCTCGAGATACTATCTACGCTCTACTATATCTTGCCAACGACATGCAACAAGTCATTGACACCTCGTCGGGATCTCAGTTGCGACGGATTTTTGCTCCAGATTACTTGAAGCATCCCATCGACATCTTCAAGGATTTTGTCCGTTATAGCATCGCAAAGTCCAAGTCTCTTGATGTGCTCTACCGACAATGGGCTAGTTGGTCGCAACTGACTACTCAACATGACTACCATGAAAGGGTCCTTCCCAGTTGGATCGGCGTCGCGAATGTTGACGAGGTACTCCCAGATCATCAGCGCGACGCGCCTTTGGACGGCTTCCTCGGACCTGTTGGCTCTCAGACGTATCATGCATCTCAAGGGATCGACTTCCAGAAACAGGCAATACCATCCATGATTGACGATATCATACAGCCCAATGGCATCCTGCTGGGTACAGTTGAAATGATTTCGTCCTCGGCTGTCCACAAAGGCTTCCTCGAGGATGACTGGCTGAAAATGCTTGGATGGCGTGGAAGTCTAGACAAAGGCATTGATGATCGGCTCTGGAGAACCCTTGTTGCGAATCGCAATCCAGATGCAAAAACAGCACCCACCTGGTACCGACGCGCATGTGCCTTAGCACTCACACGACTCGACGGCAACAATAACCTAGCTTCGGAAACTCTATCAGCCTCTACCCGGCGGCCGAGCACCTTAATCAACTACCTCAGACGCGTACAAGAAGCTACTGCCAATCGGAAAATCTTTCGTTGTGCAAATTCCGATCTTGGTGCATTGGAGGGCATTGTGGGATTAGGACCTGGGGACATGTCTCAAGAAGACGAAAATCTGCTTTGCATTTTGTACGGATCTTCGGTACCAGCCATACTTCGCGTGATCCCTGGGCCTAATTTGCAAGATGATCATACTCTTCACGTCAAGCTCGTCGGACCCTGTTATGCACATGGGCACATGGAAGGAGAGATATTCGCAGGTATGAGCGAGACGGAAATCAAGAAAAGAACGATAAAGTTCAGCATTCATTGAACTTTGATTGGCTGTATCGATACATGAGCTATTTTACAAATCTCCTCGTACGCAGTAACACGATGAATAGTCGATCCGCTCTACTCCTCATCTGGCTCTCTCACTCACATCTCCTACTTCCATTCCTCCGGCCACTTATCCTTGTCATTACTATAATCCGGCAACTCGACGCTCTTGTTCTCTCCTCCAGTCTCAATCACTCTTGTCTGTGGAAACAATTGCTCTTCGCAAAAGTTCTTCAGACCCTCCTTGTTCTTTATAGCGTACTTTTTGCGCTGGTCAAACGTTCCCAAACTCCTCCATAGCCTGATCTCTTTCACACTCGCGTCCGTCAAGGGGTTCTCGGCAGCCCAGGTCTGAAACGTTTTCCTGTATATACGCTCGAGGTAGCAGCGTGCGATATGCGCCTTCATCGATAGCAGTTTTTCTCCGATATCGTCAAGCAGTGGTTTTTTCACGTTAGATGGAAGTTCCTTAACCCAAAGGAGGAGATCAGACTCTTTCATAACGCGGAAATCCGGGGCTTCGCCTTTGCGCCTCTTCTTTGCCCGTGCATCTGCTTCTGCCTCGGCACGTTTCCGTTTGGTACTCGTGGTCGTATTCTCCGGTTCGTCCTCAACATCAGACTCAGACTCAAACTCTTCCTCCTCAGATTCAGAGAGTCCAACCAGATTTCCAGGGTCGGTATTCTCAGGCTGGGCAACCACGGGCTCAAAGCTCGAATTTACCGAGTTTCGCGCCACTGCTTCGTACACGTAGCTCTTAGGATAAAAACCGGCACTTCCCTTGAAAGAAATATCACCAAGCTCCTTGACGCTCTCGTTCAGCTTCGCAATCACCTCGTCGACCTCTACTTCTTCACGCCCCTGAAAAACTGGGTGTTTCAGCCAAACCTTCATGTCCACGGAAGACAAGTCTTGGAAGCTACTGAAAAGCTTTTGTAGAACAGATTTCCGGCTCCAAGCGTCCATTGGGCGTGTAATATCGGCGATTTTGGACGGAAGCAGATCGACGAACTCTTCAACTTGATTACTTGCCATATGCGTGAAGTTGGCAATTTCTTGGGCAAGCATGTTATTGATCACGAGAATGTTCGGGAGCTCCGGTTGAGGTGGAGCTGGCTGGCTTGAGGCCTTTGGACGGTTCGTAGTTTTCGAGGGGTTTGACGGTTTCGACGTCTTTGAAGGCTTCGAAGTCTTTGCAGGTTTTTGAGATCCTGAAGGCCCTTTAGGTTTTGGTGAACCTTTTCGTCTTGGAGCTGTTCCTTTGGCGGTCGATACAGGCTTGCTAGAGGTCTTCTCGTACTTCTTCTTCATTCGTTCCAATATCTGTTTTGGAGAGGGTCGGATGACCAGTCCGCCATCTTTCGCGTAGACGTCACGTTTGGGAATTTTATCCTCAGAACCTAGCGTAAAGACATTGAGATCACGGATCCAGATACCAGCACGGTCTTTCTCATTTTTGAACGTCCCACCGTGTTTCACGAAGAGGATGGCCCTGTACGTGTAGTCGTTTGATAGTTCGCCAATTCGTGGGTCTTCTCGAATCTCTTTTGTCGCGTGCTTCATGAGCGTGGCGTGGTCGATCGTGGCCCACTGGATTGTTTTCGGATCTGGTTGTGCAACATTAGATGCATCATTAGGGTCGGATGAAGGCTGGCCGGCGTTTGGATCATCACCTGCATCCACTTCCTCGCCGCTTCTCTTCCTCTTCTGTCCATGTGCCTCTCGATGCTCACGAGGCGACCAGTGAAGTGGACTCTCTGCCAGATACGGCAGCTTCTCCATCGCATCACCCTGGTAGTAGTACCAAGTTAACCACCATCTCGCGACCCCCAGGTCTTGCTTCCCAGCTTCTAACATATGAGGATCGCTTGCGCGCCACTCATCGACATCGCTGTCCGTCATATCTGCGAACTCGCCAATGAACATGCGATACAGAAGTCCACGGGCGACATCATAGCGAGTGACACCCACCGCATCTTGTACGACCTTCATCGCAGTAGGATGCAAGTTCTTGACCCAGATATCCACGTCTGCGTTGGACAAAGAAGCGAACAATGGCAGAGCCAGATTCAAGTAAGTCTGGTCTAGACGTTCTGCGATAGTTCCCGATGTCCAGATTTGAGAACGTTCTTGGAACGTGAAAGCATGAGAATGAAGGTAGTCTCTGAGAACCGCCGCGTTTTCGCTCTTGAAGCTACCTTTAAATACGCTGTGAAGCACCGCTCTGGATGTTTGAAGGGCAAGGCTTCTTGAATCGTCGACCTTGAGGAGGTCGTCTTTATATATTGTGTACCACGGTTCCGAACTCTCCATCTTCAGTTGGTCGAATGCGGGTAGGTTGTCCTTGCTGAAGCCTTGAGGGAACTTGTATTCTGGATTCTTGGTGAGAACACCATGCTTCCTTCGCTGGAAGTTGCGCGCAAGGTCGTCCTGGTTGTCTTTGAACGCCTTTACAACTTCATCCAGACGATGTCTGGAGTATGGCTCGCCTTCTTGTAAGTACATCTGGTACTGGGCACGCGAAACTCCTTCGTGCTCGTCTGGCCAGCCATCGTCGTCGCCGTCACTATTGTCATCGTCACTGCCTGGCCTCCTTCTTGAGCTTCTGTTGCCACCTGGTCCAGGCGGGGCCCTCCGATTCGGGTTCAAGGATGCGACCGCATCGCATAGTTGACCAGTACTAGGAAGGCCTAGGATCTTCACAACGCGCACACTCATTTTGTACGGCAATACGTTCTCACCCAAGTTCTTTTCAGCCTCTTTTCGAATAATCTCCTGCATGTCTCTGCGTGTTTGGAGCGAGTTGAACGCCATTTTTTGTGGGTGACGTCTCCTATACCTCGAACTGAACGCGCTATAAAGTCCGCCCGCGTCAGTGAGGAATCTCGGGTTATCCAAGATGTACTTAAGCATGGCGTAGACCCATGGCCCGCATGCTGAGCCTTCGTCACCTCGGTAGCTGTTGTTCTTGGTATCGTGAGGGACGTGTTTCAGTGTGGCTGCCGTGAATGCTCCTCGCTCTAGATCCATAACTTTGTCGTATCCGCAGAGAATCTTCCCGGCGACCCACGCAGGATGTGGTTTATGCATGTTGTGTATGTACCAATGCTTGTTGCGTTTCTGTTTTACGTTTAGGTGGCCGTCTAGCCATCTGGCATCATTTCTCTCCTTGTCGATTACCATGAAACCCCAATGAGTGCCACCGGAAGGAGTCATCTCAGGCTCACTTTCTTGTTGCACTTCCGTGTTGCCATTTGGGTGTCCTTCTTTGTCGGTAACCAGCACCTCAGCTTCTTTGGAAACCTCTTGCCCCCTAGCGACCTGCTCTTCCTCTCCTGTCTCCCCTTGCTCTTTAGCTTTCGCGGCTTTAGCTCTCCATCTCATGATCCTTTTCGCTGTGCCCTCATCGGCCATACCATCTGTCACAGGCACAACAATCCATCGATATTGCTCTTGCTGCATAGCTTCGTAAGTTGGTTTCGATAGAACATTCTGTTTGAATCGATCTTTGTCGTCAATACATAAGCCAACACGAGCAAGCATGGCGCCAGCATTTGTTGGTAGAAAGAGGATATCGGTTCGTTTCTTTTGTACAAGAGTTAACAGGGCCATAGCCAACTCTAACTGGTGACCCTGCATCCAACTATGATGAGGGTCCGTTCTCGCGGTTGCCACGATGTTGATAAAGTCCTCTATGGTGACATCAAAAGGATTCCCCAGATGGCTGTACTCGAGATATTTCCTGTTTAGCCAGTTTCTGATGACAACTTCGTTGGTTTCTGGCACGGGTGCGACTGGTGCAGCAGGTGCCGCAGGAGCTGGAGTACCATCGCCGTTGTCGTTATTGGCCGGCGGGCCTTGTTCGCCGTCGTCAGACATGATTGTCGCACTATGGTTATTTGCTAGTAAATGGCGCCTTCGATTTCACAACGGCTTTGAACATTCGCGAGCATAAGTTGCGCTCGACGAAGATATGTAATGTTCCCCTCAAGTCATCGAACAAAGCCGAAGACACCTGGAAAGAAGATGCGATGCCGAGAACAAAGACGGCGAAATGAACGATAGCGCTCTTTATCGAGTATCAGGCGATACCATCATTGTTCAGTTCTCTTTCATGTCCGTTTTCTCACAGCCACGACGCTGCTTTTGTGCGCAGAGATGTATTCTGCTCGAGAAACAGATTACGCATTACTTGGCCTGGGTGTTAGCGAGATCATGCAACGCGAAAGAGCATAGCAGGGGTAAACACTGTGAATCGTCAATTAAATAGCTAGCTAGATGTTCAATCTGCCATGGAAGTGTCAGCTACAAGACCGAGTCCATGACGGGTATAGACAGATACTGGGAAAGTGGTAAATGCCGATCCATGCTGCCGGTACACCTCATAGTAGCTTTGTCACCCCCGCCTACCTCCATTGTCTTGCCGGCTCTGGCGGCACAACATTCGCCGGATCCGTGAATGGGTTTGCTCGGGCCTCTAGATCCTCCTCCTCCGTCCGTGACCTCGCAGCCTTGGGCTGCTGACTGCTGGGGTTGGGAGTACCATCGATGAAAGTGAGACCGAAGTTGTTCATCGGAACGGGCGTAGCCTGAGCACTGATGCCAGAAGAAGGGAAGTCGCGAAGGTTTTGTTGGGCGGGGGTAAGGGCAGAAGAGCCACTGAGATCGTCTAGTCGCATCGACTGTTGCGCGTCGGTCTTGCGGTTGATGTATGCGGCAGCGAGCGCGAAGCCGAAGTAGATAGCCATGCTGATACTAATTAGCTTATTTCCCCAACATCACCATCCATGTATTATCATAAAACTTACCAAACCGCTCCCAACATGCCCAAAACCTCACAACCCCGTTCAATTCCCTTTGCCCATCTACTCCATCTATCCAACGTGTACATCGTCTTATCGTACTGCCAACACGAATCCCTAGTGAGAGCCACAGTGTGCTCCAAACTATAATCGATCTTGCTACTGGGGAAAGTATTCATCCAAACAGTGCCCAAAGCGACCAGCACGAAGTAGACGGCGAGGCAGGTGGACCAAAGCATGCCAGCACGGTTGGAGATGCGTGCGGAGCGGTAGTGGCTCCGAAGAAGAAGGAGGAGATCGATGACTAGGAGAAGCGGGTTGAAGATCAGGATTGCTATGATCGTGCTGCGAGGATGTTTGGTTAGCATATCCTCATAGATGGGGAAGTACGACAGCAAGACAAAACTTACAAAATCCCTCCCCTTTCCTTCCCACTCAGATACTCGGGCCCCGTCAGCCCCGGGTCCGTACTATTAATCCCAACATCCATTCCATGCCAGAACCTCTCGCGATCCACATTCGCATACAGCACCGGCAACGTCTTCACGTCGCTAGTCAACACAACTCCATACGTATCCCCGTATATCCCATACTTGGTGAAGTCAAAGTTGCTACCAGCATCCACATTCAAGCATTCAACTTCGCTTTGAGGAGAGGCGAGTAGACGGTGGGCCATGGCAACGCACAAGCCGAGTTGCGCGACCGCGAAGAGGATGGAGAGAAAGAGGAGGATGTCGGTCGCGAGGCCGGTGCGAGAAGGCCAGCGGGTTGATCGAGAGTGAGTGAAGAGGGTGAGGCAGGAGCGGGCTTCCTTGAGGGGGTTTGTGCGGGAGGGCGCCATGATGGCGTTGTTGGTGGTGAGAGGTTTGTAGTCTGGTGTCGTTTTTGTTAGTGCTGGGTGACTGAAGTATTTCTCTGAAAATCGAGAGGAGATGGAAGGTGAACAGGACAGGATTATCCATCCCTCAATCTCTCAGGGTCTGTGGTGTCGTCGTCTGGTAGCGGTACAGTGAGTACCGTGGGCGCGACGCCGGAAGCGAGGGGGAGCCATGATACCATCTTCAAATGTCCTGGGGCAAAATGAGCTGATGGCGTCTTCAGGAAGGAACGACGACGATTGCGCTGCCGATAAACCACGTGAGGCGAACGAGGAAAGAGCGACCGGACGGAAAGGTATCAACTTAAATTGGCAGCTACATAGAAACATTGATCGGGCTCGGGGCTTCGCAGGGGGTGTACATGCTTGCGTAAAGCAAAAGGACAAAAAAGGGCTCATGACAGGGTAACAAGGAGATTAAGATCGTGATCAAAAGAGGTATTGCAAGTTGTTTACATGCGGCTGCGATAGGGCCTAGGGACAGCCGGCTGGAAGAGCCTATCCGGCAGCCTGTTTCCATACTGATCGAAGCGGTAGTCCTCCTTTTGTTCAATCCACATCTGCCCAGCAAGTTAGCCTTGTGCTAACAGCTAGAGCTTGCTACCGTAGGGGCGGGGCGGGTAGCCAGCAGTGTTGTAACCACTCACCTCGCGGTCGGCGTAGTTCCTGTCCAACGGCACTGGTTGTGGATTTAGTATTTCTTCGTCGCCAAAGCCCGCGTCTCCTTGGAACCTACGCGAATAGTGCGCTGCACCAATGGGTTGCGGGGCGCCGTATTCGGCGTACGCAGGGGCTCGAGGGCCGTACTGACCTGGGCGTTGGGCGCGCGCGCTGCTCTGCATCCAGGAGTCGCGCTCGGGGAGACGGTCCTCGTACGATTCAGGGCGGCGGCCGAGGGGCTCGGGGAAGCGCGGGTTGTAGGTGCCTTGAGTCTCGATGGGGTACTGAGAGCGGTAGTGATCTTCCTGCTGGTAGCGCTCGTCGTAGTGCGTCTCGTAGCGGCCGTCACGACCTTGTTGCTCGAAGTGGACGTCGTGACGGGGAGCAGGGCCGCGGTCGTCGAAGTGCTGGGGTCCGCGCTGGTGTTCGTCGATGTACACGTCGCGACGCTCTTCGTAGTGAGCTGGGGGCTGACGGTCGCGCTCAACCCAGACATCGCGGTGCTCCTCTACGTGTCGCGGCGGCGCGCCATCACGCTCGACCCAGACATCCCTCTCGATGTGCGTCGTGTGGGTGGGCTGGGCCTGAGGCTGGGGCTGGGGAGGTTCCTGATGGATGTCGATGTCGATGTGCGTCTCCTTGGTGGTCGCCTTGGGCTTCTTGGGCTCTTCGACTGGCTCCAGAGCAGTCAGGTAGCCGATGACCTCGCTCAGACTGGAATGCGCGATGGCGAGCTCCTTCTCCCGGTTCTCGAGCTTCTCCTTCTCGCTGAGCAGCCAGTAGACGCGGTGCCGCATGCCGATGCGGCGGCCGTCCTCGACATCGCCGGCGACGCGTTCCGTGTGCGGCGTGATGTTCTCAAGGGCGCCGCGCACGTCGCGCATGCATCCGTAGACCCACTTTGACTTTTCCGGGTTGGCCTCGAGGATGTCGTGGATCTCGCGGATGGACAGCAGGCGTCGCACTTCATCGAGGTCGGACCGGACGCGGCCAATGATGCGCACGTAGACGGCGTTGGATGGGCCAACGTCGCGGACGCGCTTGGCCTTGGTGAGGAACTCGGCGAGCTTGTAGGCACCCCCAAGGGCACCGGCGGCAGCACCGAGCGTGAGGATCTCTCCTTTAACCATGACGGGCGGTGAGGTGGCAGCTGCTGGGAGCTACCGGCTTGGTGAGGGTGATGTTCAATTGAGTGAAAGGGTGCCTGCGTCTCTGCCTGTACCTGGCGCGAGCATCCCGCGCAGGTTCAACCGGCGTGGAAAGTGGGGATAGGCGCTTTGGTGAGGTGTGAAGAGAGCAGAGTTGTTGTCGCTCAGCTACTCAGGGCAGCATTGACAGGGGCCGTAGCTGTTTAGTGTTATTCGGGGGCTGGGTGCTAGCCACATGGAGGCGCTCTAGCCTGCAGCTCGTCACTCCTCGCGACCAACCCGAGGTCTGAACTCCCCCAGAGCTCCACCCACGAACATGTGGCTTCCATCGCTTGCAACCGACGAGCTGATCGTGTTCGTTGCGGAGATCCAGAGCGGTGAGGACACACGCTGGCCTCGCCCAAAAACTGCGATTTGTCTGCGGTAAACAACATCTCCACGTCTTGTTTACTCCGTCCTGATACGCGCCTGGATCATCCCAGCTCGCCATGTCAGCTCCACTCGACAACGCACCGACCTGCCTGAAACTTGACACTCAAAACCTTGCTTTATTTACCGTATTTCGCAATGAACGCGCGAACTTTGGGGTCGCTCAAACTCAATTCACTGCCCTCTGCATCCAGCAGCTCGCGGTCCTTGTTCTCCAGCTCCAGCTCCATCGCCTTCAACTGCTCGTCCAGTTCCGGGTTTGTCAAGCTAGCCTGGTGGAATGGTGCGTGCTTATATAGCGCACTCAAGATCGCCCTCAGGTCGGTATCTGCTTTGCTTGTTCGTTCGGCAATTACATCATGAGCCGACGTCGCGGTGGACTCGTAGTGACTCTGCAGCTTCTTGCTTCGCTCAAGCTGGGCTTGTTGCAGAGTATCCTGCAGGCTTTCAATGTTGTCGTGACTGAATGATATGCCCGCATAACGAAGCGCGTCTTGCAGTGTCACCGGGAGGTCGAGCGTCGATGTAGGCTTGAGCTTCACCATAGGTGTAAAGGCGGACGTGTCAGACCTCATGCGCTTCAACACCGGCGTTCCAACCGGTGGGTGTGTCTCCGGTATACGCTTCGCTGCCGCTGCTTGGACGTGCGCGAGTGCTTGTTGGAACTCATCAGTGTCCTTCGTACCAGTAGTGACTATGTTGAGGCGTTTGCCCATATACTCGAGGGTTGACAGCACCTGATAAGTTAGCAACAGTCCGATGACACTTGAGAGGTACTCACATAGTTTAGCCAAGCCGTTCGTGCCTGTGTTCTGTCCCTATCCTTGCGCTCCTTCATCTCAGTCATGGGCTTGCGTATCTCATGCTCGACAACCATTTCAGCAACAGATGCGATCTCGGAGTGAAGCTCTTCCAACTCAGCCTGCAGGGCGGCCTTTCTCTCCTTGAGGTCTTCTTCTGTTTCTGCAACGCCGTTCTGGACATTGCCCGATGCGTTGGTGAGAAACACAGTGTCGACGCGAGCTTTGATCTCCGCCGCGCGGAAGGAGATAATAGCCTTGCACCACTGCTCCATCGACTTCTCGTCCTCGCTGACTTCAGGCTCGGTAACAATCTGTGACACCAACTTGGGGAGTCGGCTCAGAATTTGGTCGTCTGATGCTAAGCGCTCTGACAAATAACCTTTGAGTGTTGACTTTTCAGAATCAATCTCTCGTTGGGCGTCAGTCGTCTGCTCCGTAACCGATGCAACGACATCATCAACCTACTTAAGTTAGCAAATACCCATTCATGGCGATTTGAGACTTACAGAGACGTCTAGTCGAGTCTTTTCCTGTCCCTCCTTCCTTCTTCGCTCGTTCCTTGCATGCTCAACATTCAAGTTAGGCTTATCGAGAGCTTCAAGCTTCATTAACGCATCTTTCTGAGTCTCTAAAACTCTGCATTGCTCTTCAATCGCAGTAGTAGAGCTCTTCAGCGATTCGATAGCTGCAGCAATTTCGTGGTCCAAGATAGGTCGGATGGGTTCACCGTCGCTTTCGTACTGGTGTAAGAGACCCTTCTTCTTCAAAGTCTGGTACCTAGAACTCCAATTAGCAAATACCGAAATAATGAGGTTTTGCACTTACAGCTCTAGCTCTTCTTTGCTGAGTAAGGTGTCTTCGTGGAGGTACTCGTCGACCCACGCCGCAGCTTCGTGCTTTGTATCCGTATCCTCGAAACCCAGAAGAATGTTGTCGAGATCTACCTTGAGGCCTCGCTCTTCCACCACATTCAGCAGATGGTGAGCTGCTTGTTCTTCTTCCATACTGCCCACTTCTCAATCGTGTTCTTGCGGTGTGGGTGTTTTGTGGCAGATGCAAAAGCAGTTAGGTCAGCGACATTCGATACGGCGCGCCACACGAGCCACTCGCGCAGTCGCGGTTCACGGCACCCTTCGTGCCTTCCCAACGCGCTCGCGACTTGAACTTTGACTCCAGACTACCCTCCTCTAAAGCATACTCCAACTCCCCACCAGACCACAAAAATGCCTCCCACCGCCCTCGAACCCGTGATCACCCCCGAACCTTCCAAAGATACCGCCAAAGAAGCCTCCATCCAACCCACCCCACTACCCACCACCGCCATGCCATCCAGCAACCCCACCCACGAAGAACACCAATACCTCTCCCTGATCCGCGACATAGTCCAAAATGGCGAGCACCGCCCCGACCGAACCGGCACCGGCACCCTCGCCGTTCCCTTCCCACCCCAAATGAAATTCTCCCTCTCGCGCCCATCCAGCGACCCGTCACAACCACCCACGCCCATCCTCCCCCTCCTCACCACAAAACGCGTCTTCCTCCGCGCCGTAATAGGCGAACTGCTCTGGTTCGTCGCCGGCAGTACACACAGCAAACCATTGTCAGAAGCGGGCATCAAGATCTGGGACGGAAACGGCAGCCGCACCTACCTCGACAGCGTCGGCCTCTCCCACTACGAAGAAGGCGAACTAGGCCCCGTCTACGGCTTCCAATGGCGGCATTTCGGCGCTGAATACAAGGGACACGCGGAAGACTACACAGGTCAGGGTGTCGACCAACTCGCCGAGATCATCGACAAGCTCAAGAATAAACCGTATGATAGACGGATTATACTGAGTGCGTGGAATCCGGCGGATATTAAGAAGATGGCGCTGCCGCCTTGTCATATGTTTGCGCAGTTTTATGTTAGTTTTCCGGGACATAAGCAAGGGGGGGAGAGACCGAGAGGTGTGTTGCATAGTCTGCTGTACCAGCGGTCTTGTGATATGGGCCTTGGTGTTCCGTTTAATATCGCGAGTTATGCGTTGCTTACACATATGCTGGCGCATGTGTGTGATCTGACGCCGGGCACTTTTACGCATACGATGGGGGATGCGCATGTCTATCTCGATCATGTGGAGGCGCTCAAAGTGCAGTTGGAGAGGGAGCCGCGCGACTTCCCGGAACTGAAGATAAACAGGGAGATTGGGGGCGGTATAGATGGGTGGAAGGCGGAGGAGTTTGAGGTGCTGGGGTATAAACCACATGCGAGTATTGCGATGAAGATGAGTGTGTAGGATGTATACGATGTATGATGAATGTAAGAGTACGTCTCCACCACCTGCTTTTGCATCCATACTGTAGCTTGCGCGGCTGTTCCACACATGACAGCATGTAGACACGCTATGAACGCTCCAAACCCAACGTAAACACATTATATGCACGAAAAGAGGAGCATAATAACCAACCTAACCCTCTCACCTCCAAGCCCCCCATTCCCCTACGAAGGCATCTCCTGCGGCTCACTCCTCGGCCCATGATTATGCGCATATTTCGTACTAGCCGGCAACTCACTCCTTACAGTATCCGAATCTGGCGCATCCACATACTGCGCATCCACATGCTGTGGCGGCACAGCACCATACATGCTCTCTCTATTATACGGGCTTTTCTCTCCGTTAGCAAGCTTCGTCGCCTTTCTCTTGCGCCACCAGAAGGCCGCAAAGCCGATCAGCGCGAGAGCAACGAGGCCGCCGATTACAGGGCCTGCTATCCACGCTTTGCTGGAGGAGGAGGAGTCGTTACTGTCTTCACTGGCTCCAGATGATGAGGAGGGAGACGAAGAAGGGATTTCTGCGTCGAGGAGCACAGCGTAAGTCGCGCCTGGCTGCTCGCTAATCACGCTCGTAGTGTTCTGCAGATAGCAATTGTTGAATCCGCCCTTCAATGTCGAGTCGAAGAGAATGGCTTTACAGCCTACGTTCTCCTCCGCACAAGCATCCATACACGCCGTAATATTCTGCATATGCAAACTCGTAATATTAGTCCCCGGATTCAACCTCCCACAGTGCACTTCAAAGCCCTTGGCATCCGGCGTGCCCGCCGCCGCGGTATACGATTCCCTGTCTGGGCATTTCGTATCGATCTGATCAATTTGCGTCATGACTGCCGAGTGAAAGAGGATGATTCCCGCGCCTACGTCCAGGCTATCTGTGTATCCAGAATCATCGCCCGTCTTGAGAATGCAGTTGGCGAAACCGATTACCATAGACGGATTCCAAGACACGGCTGTGCAGAGCGGTTGCTGATCGACGCAGATCTGCATGCATTCATCGAGAGATTCGGCGTGGTAGAACCATTGATAGTTGCCCTCGAGATGTGGATACGCGTCAAAGTCAGCTACGTTTGCCTTGATCATCTGCCCGCAGTGCGTGGTGTATTGCATGCCGTGGACGCCGGGGAGGGTGTTGGTAGAAAGATCTTCATGCGGACATGTTTCGTCGAAGCCTTCCATTTCGCTCCTCTCGATGAGGGCGGTGTACCGGTGGGGGTTTGGTTCGAGGAGATCGACGGTCGCGCTGCTGTTCTTCATGTAGCAGATGTTGTCGGGATCTACCCAGAGGACGCCGTAACATCCTTCGCCAGGGCCCCAGAACCGTGAGCAGTGTTCTATGCATTCTGCGAAGCTGTCTAGTTGAATGGCTTCGGTTGGCGCTTCTGATGTCTATTAATGATGATCCTTCTTGGAGGATATCGCGTGATCTGCTGCTCACCATTATGGCGTATGTTTTGATCACAGTATGTGGTGTAGTTGGCGCCGTTCAGTGTCGTAAATGGGCTGCCGCATCTCGCAGGACTATATTGCCGTGCTTCGAGGGCGCGATTAGATACATATTCTGCTAGACCTGCTCTTGTATCAGTAAGCGTCTTGTTTACTACCACATCATCTCCACACCTGCAAACATACTTGTAGGTGAAGCAAACGTCGTAGTCGCTAGCATTAGAGCTAATGAACCCCACATCCTCACGTCCAGCATATTAGTATACCCCATAGTCGAAGACCTGTGCTTGTGCAACAGTAGGAAACGCGACAACGCGAGATCCGGGGATCGTGAGTGTACGATACAAGGTTAATACAAGGTTAAACCAAGCTGTACCGATCAGACATGTTGCCAATAGTAAGCCATGGGGCGAAGTACAGCGGTTATTGAAATTGCAACTAAGGCCTCCAATACATGGCATCATGATGGGGGCCAGAAAGTCTTCCTGTAAGACAATGCACCTCATGTTAGAGGTGGGATTCCGTTGAATCCTACGACATGGCTTGAGGGCGCAGCGTCCGCGGGCATCTCGAATCATCGGGTGGTTGGGATTCGCCAGGATCATGAGTGGTGTCGACGAGAATGACGGCGTTGTGCTTGGTCAACGCATTGTTAGGCGCGTGACGATGGGCCTCGAGATGCAGGGCGTTTGCAGGGATTATGGTAGGATCCTCTTTAGCGTATGAACGCGCCTCGTCGACGAGCTAGAGAAGGCGCACTGCGCCTTGCAGAGAACAACAACTGCGCACAAATGTTGATGTACGAAGTCGTCATGTCTCACACGCAGTGCTTACATGGGAGATTCTAGGCATTGTTGTATGTTTTCTGTCAATTTGTAGAACCCTTTAGGAATACCTAGGTACGCTCTTTGTGTACTAGCAAAGGAACGTTGCTCTTCTCGGACTAGCCTTTTGGTGGCACATGTGCACGGCTTCAAATCCTCGGTTTTTGCACAACAAAGGTTTGTAGTAATAGATTGCTTGTAGAAGTAGTGGAGCGTCTACTCGCTAACAGAGTAATACAACGAAGATAAGGGAATAGAACTTGCGGAACGACTGTTAAACTACCTTCCACTGTAGTAGGATACCACAGTTCTGAACGTGCTCGTAATCGTCTCTTTAGTGTGAGTATGACAGCCTTGCGGCACCTTCACACCGTCAAAGCGATCCTTAATCCAAGCAAGATAGTCAGAAACTGTGACCATCGAGGCACCCAAGTGATCGACCTCCGGATACAAAAGTAGCGAAACACGGGACTCTGGGAAAGCGCTGCAAGTCCGATTGAAGTCACTCCTGGTGTTGGCCGCGTACACCAAAGAGTCGGCGATGCCCTGAACAACAAGCATAGGTGCAGCGAGAGCGTGAGGGCCAGCGCCATTGTAGCGCTTTTGCCAGTCGACAACATCTGGATGCTCGTACCAGGTAACCTTCTTGAACATCTGTGCGCTGGTGAAGTTGCCGTATAATGCGTTTGCGACGAGAATGCAGCCTTGATCCAGGAGTGGAAGAAGATCGAGAGCGGCATCTGTAAGGTAGTCTTCGAGATGAAAGGTGTTAGGAAAGAGCAGTGCGAGCGATTGTAGAAGTAAGATGGCGTTGGCACCGCCGAACGGCCCACCATTGGCTCGTCGGATAGACTCAGGGAAGAGGTCAAGAGGACGGAGCGCGGGAGCAGCGGCGACAGAGCCTAGGAACTTTCCTGCTTTCAGCAGCTCTTCTTGGTCGGGCATCGCGAGACGCTCGTTGGTTCTCCAAGCTGTCATGCCACCTTCACTGTGGCCGACAACTACGTACTCCTCAGAGAGCAAGTCGCCGAGAACCTTGCGGGCAGCAATCAACCCGTATACAGCATCGGCTGCGTGCAAGAAGCCCGCCTCGTACATGAAGCCTTGGGGGATATCTGAACCCTGACCCGAATAGTCGGGCGCAATGACAGCATACCCAGCAAGGGCAAGAGCATACGGGCCTCTCCATTCATAGTGCAAGTCTTTGTTGTTGGACGGTGCACAGTTTCGAATTCTACCAGCTGTGCCGTGTGTCCAGACTATTGTATTCAGTGGCTCGTCCCGGTTCGGCTTGTTGTACGGCAACAGCACAAATCCAGTAGCCGGAATAGGGTTTCGTTCAATGTCTTCGGTCATATATATGAAACGCGCAAGAGACATGCCGGTTGGTGCTGTGAACTTAGTGTTGCTGTCGTTGCGTGAGACTTGTTGCCATCGCAGTAGGGCGCCTGGCTTTGCTCCAGTGGTGTTGGCTGGGGTGGTGTAGAATTCGTCTAGCGTTACGTTCTTCGACACCCATCCTGAGGACTCGCGGAGGAGGGCTCCTTTAAATGCCGTCTGGCAAGAGGAGTTGCATGACTCTTGCGCACGGCTGGCTCCAAGGAGGAAAGCCATAAGATGGGTGTAAGATAGTCTCATGTTGAAGAATGGAAAAGTGGAAGGAATGACTTTGCTGATGCCCAGGTGGCATTAGAGGCTACATCAGGGCCCTATATAATATTTCGATTGATACAGCATCGATATCGACGCGCGATATGCCGACCATACTGAGGTCAGGTGCAAGTATGCACTAGACACGAAGTGCCGGCGGTACTTCTTGTTTGATCTAGCGGGATGCATGACATTGCGCAAGCAAAGAACAGCCGAGAGACGCTCCCGGATAACGTCGTTCTTATCCCTCTTCCGATGCAGCAAACTCGATCTAAAAGGTCGATGTACGAAGTTAGTGTATGTCTCGCGCGCAGTTCGTACATACATAGGAGGTTTGACCCTTGCCAGATACCCCATATTTCGGACCAGATGTTTCACTATGCTCTATTACTGGTAGTCTCTCCACCAATGCGGCTGGAATTTTACGTATAATGTATACCAAGTATACGCAAGTTGAATGCTCAGCCAGGTTCGGACTGTGAAGGCACCGGCTGAAGAACTAATGTGTTTGTGCCTACCTGGGTACGAAACAATGGAGTGTGCCTTTGACTCAGACTGTGGTCTGATCCTGATGCGTGCATACGACGCAATGGCACTTCTATCCCAGTAACGCACCGCCCCTGCGCGACTTTGAAAGAAGAGACTTGACAAGAAACCATCGGCCTTGACCACAAGCGAGCGTATACGACGGCCATGAGGTCGCGTAGAGACGTGCAAGCTCTGGAAGAACTCGTCTACTACAGAAAACTT